TTAAAACGTAATATATTACTAAAATTATGATAAATCAAATAATTTCTTAGAATTTTATGTTATATTCGGAATTTTTTGCTACTAATTCAATTAATTTTACTTACATATAAGCAAAGAAGACTACATTTAGGGCAAATCTTATAATTGCCTATATAATTTTGTTTAAATTTAAAAAAATTCTGATTTTTAAGTAAATTATGCGCTAGTTATTAGTTATTTTGAAATATAGTTTTCGACAGAAGCTGTGGATTAATATTATACATCACAATAATATTAAAATTTAAATGATCAATGTAATATATTTGTAATATCACAAATTAAATTATAAATTAGCAAGTAATATCAAAATTAACAAGTATTTTTATGTTATTAAAGTTAATAAAAATTTTTTTAATATTGTAAAGAATTTATTGCGAAAAATATCATCTCAGGGGTTCAAGTCTGGATCTCTTTCATTCTGTAGGATGTTTTATCTATTCGATCACCGAGGCATAAGTTGATTAATCACTGACAATAACCAAGACATGTTAGAAAGTCTCTTCGAATAACATAAGTAAATAATATTAAATGAAAATCACAGTTTTCTTGAACTAAAAATTGTAAAATTGTAATAATAATTCACACAAAAATATTATCATGACCCATTTTAAATATGGCTTTTTTCATTTATTTGTGTTAGACACTTTTTTCGAATTTTATTTAAGATGATTAACTTTACATAGTTTTAGGTTTTTATTTTAAATAAATATTTAAAAAATATTTAAAGTAATCTCTCGAGTATTATCTTTTTATATAGATAATAATTTTATTATTTTCATAGTTTTACGTTTAAGAAATTCATGTTAACTTGTTTTATTCAATTAAATTTATTCTATCAGATGTAATTTTTGATATATTGTATTTTTTTATTGACACTTTTACTAATCTATTTGTAATCTTCATCGTTGGTAAATCTTTTACGAGATTATTCAAACAATTTCTTGATTTTGTGAAATGTAAAATTAAAAAAATTCACTAATTATATATCTATTATTAATTATTTTACTGACTATACAATTCATTATTATGATGTCAATGTTTAGAGATGATGAAATTAAGTGTCTATTTAACGACTTTGCACTATATTTATAATACTTGATATACTTACTTGTTTTATTAAATTGAGAACCGGATTTTATTTATCACCGCTTGCATTTTACTTAAGTACCTATGCGTTTAATACATGATTATGCAATCTTTGTGAAATATTCCAAGAGATTGCTCTGTCATGAACTAAATACAACATGTTTTGCATATATCACCTGTTGCAGAATCAATAAGGAGCCTGAGGCGTAAATATATTGAATGTTATAAGCAAGATTGTAAGAATAGGATTATTGAAGCCTGTGAACTTATTATTCAATTGTCTTCTTTTTTCTAAATATATACCGAACAAAATAAAAGAATCACAAACGTAGCGTAAGAAATATTTCTTAGATTTTCTAATATTCTTTCGGATGAAAATCTAAGAAATATTCTTACGCTACGTTTGTGATTCTTTTATTTTGTTCGGTATATATTTAGAAAAAAGATGACAGCTGAATAATAAATTCACACGATTAGATATATTATGTACTACTATACAAATCATTGCGCAATTACTAACTGAGAGTTACTGATCTTTTTATCGCCTCGTTTTTCAAAGTACAGGGAAAAATAAAATTTTCACATTTGCAAAAAAATATTGATAAGACAATTAAGAATCTTATTAAGTCTTTAAATTGGTATTTCTCGTGTCATAAACTGTTATTGTAGAAATCGCACTCATTTTAATAAGTTCGACAATTATTAAGAATTATAATATAATAGCGCAGATTTTATCCGTTAAAGATAATTTTTAATTTATTTTTAGATTTAAAATTTTATTTTGTGAAAAAAAATTAGGTGTTATTAACGTTAAATATATATTTATTATATCATCGAAATTATTCTTATAAAAATGATATTTTGAACTAGTAAAAAAATGTTTAAACGTTACAAAGTTTTATGAACGTTTTTAGAAAGTATAATGTTTATATTAATGTAGTTAAAAAAATGTATTATATTTAGTTTATATGTTTATTATACAATTTCTAAAACGAAGTAATAATTTTTTATTTATATTAATAAATAAATAAAATAAATTCTATACTTGATACACAAATACACGATAATTGATCCAATCAACGCAGAATCAATGAATAAAATCATTTAAAGGAAACTTTATAATTATAATTATATACTTTGCTTTAAATAATTTTATTGATTAGACCAATTGAATTAGGCCCGATTTCACCAACTCCGACTAACGTATTCGGCCAATTAAGTGTTAACCGTGATTGGCCAATTCTATACTGAACAGCACAATTAGTCAGTTCTGATATAACACAATCAGTCGATTAAGTTTATCTGAGTTATGCTCATTTCCACCAATGCAGATTAACTTTAATCTCGGTTCAATTTACTCTTCATCTTTTTCTAATTCTAAAAATTAGAAAAAAATGAACAGTAAGTTAAATCTGCATTGGTGGAAACAGGCATTAGTAAGATCTTAATCGAAGTTTAGTTTCGTCTATAAGAAGCTTATATGGAATTATAATTGATATTTAATTATCTATAAAAAAAACTTAAATTGTTTAGAACTATAATTAATATAATTTATTTATCAATTTATAAATCTATAAAAATTATGCTTATTATTTTTTTTATATGCTGAATGCTGAAGCGTTTGCTAAAATTTTGTTTTAATTTTTAAATTAATTGTAGAGCAGTAGTAATTTTTATTATAAGAATATATATATATATACTCGTATATATATGTATGTTTATATATACAGTAGATAAAGAAAATTATTATCGTACCTGATATTGATAAATGTTTCGAATGATTTCTCGCTTCGATCATTGGCCGTTGGCGTCGCTAGTTGCTTTTAGCGTTTTCACTTGTTTTCACTTAACCTAACTAAACAGATAAATTTCTTTTATTATCGAATCGAACACGCATAACATAAGACGTGCAAGTGCTTATAATACGTCCGATCGCAGTATTTAGTACTTGAAAAAAAGATCATTATAAAAATAGTAGTTATAAAAACCGCTTAAAATGGTGAAATTGACGCCGGAACTCATAGAGCAATCTATGCAGTACATTAATCCTGTACGAGATCGCGAATTAGATCTCCGAGGTTTGTTGCTTACAAAATCTGTTGTAATTATTATATATATTGTGTTCATTCCATTGTTTTTGTTTTATTTATGTTGCAGGATATAAAATACCCACCATCGAGAATCTAGGTGCGACCTTGGTAGGTACATGTGTACTTTATGAAAGAGAAATAGAGTGACTTATATTTATATTTCTTTATCTTTAGTCTAAAAATATGTAGTCTTATTACAACATAATTACTATATTACTTTTTATGTAGGATCAATTTGACACGATAGACTTTTCTGATAATGATATACGTAAACTGGATGGTTTTCCACTTTTGAAAAGGATAAAAACTTTGTTCTTTAATAACAATCGTATCGTCAGGATTGGCGAAGGACTGGAGCAATATATACCGAACTTGCAATGTCTGATGTTGACTGGCAATATGATACAAGAACTGGGTGATCTGGAGCCTTTGATACCACTAAAGAATCTTATAAATTTGTGTTTGCTTCAAAATCCAGTGTCCGCTAAGCCACAATATAGACAGTACGTCGTCTACAGATTTCCTCAACTCAAATTGCTTGACTTTCGAAAAATCAAGCAGACAGAGCGTGAGGCAGCAACAGAATACTTTAGAAGCAAGCGTGGTAAAGAGATGGCACGTGAGATAGCTAAAAAGGTAAAGGCACAAACAACGGGTGCCACTGCGGACAAACCTTTAACCACTCCCGAGGAACGTAATAAAATTCGAGAAGCCATTTCAAATGCATCTTCTTTGGAGGAAGTACAGAGGCTTAGTAAATTGCTGCAGGCTGGTCACATACCTGGTGATCAACGATTGCAAAATGGTATACAAGCTTCTGCATTGTACATATATAATTATATACATATAATTTTTATACAGATCTTACAGAGTTAATGATACTGTTGATACTAACAAATACTGACAATATTATTGAGATTCATATTATTATTATTATGAAACACATTAAGTACAGACATAGAAACAAAAACAATTATTAAACAATTGATTTAAATTCTATTATAAAATATTGCATATTATATTATATTCCAGGTAGTGGAGCTACAGAACCTATGGAAGAGGATGATGATTAAATTATGATATAAGTTAAAAAACAAACTTCCTATTGTAAGTATGCAGCTTAATGGAGTAGGCCGTGACAATAGTACACATAATGCTGATAAAAAATTGTATACTACACAGATCTACTACTCCTTTGAAGTAATACAGATTACTGTTTTGTAAAAAATAAAGTATGGAGATTAGAGCTTGGAAGCGATTTTTATAATTACTCCTCATTACATTGAACGTTATTTTAATATATCAATATGTTTATTTCAGATTAATAAAGAGTGTTTTCAAGCAACTCGTGTTCTTATTATTGAATCTCTCTTTGTATTTATATATAAACTCATATTTTATACATGTGTGAATTTGCACCAAAACGTAAAGTTTTGATAATTAAATTCTATTTGAAGTTTTGAGCTTTGAATAAATTGGATAAATATAAAACATTTGGACACATATATATATATATATCTTGTATTTATTCAATTTGTTTAAAATATATTTGCATTTGTAATCTAGTTTATGAGAAATTTTTTAATTTACAATTTTGACAATCATTTAGACATAGAATTTCTAAATTTTCGATCCACCAAGTAAATAATTTAATAATTCACATGTAATAAATAATTATTTAAATTAATTGGTGAATTGGTGTAATTCGGTTTTGTGTGTGCGGTGTATATATATATATATATATATATATATATGTTATGTAAGTTAGATCAATGAATGAATAGATGTCAGTGCAACCTGACGAAAGTGTACTCAGTTTCCTTTCGATTGTTTACTTCATTAGATACAATTTGAATTAAATAATGGGTAATTACATCGCTACCTACGTAACGCATCCTGACACGATGCCCGTGACCGATGGTAAATCGACATTTGATCCGATGTATGGATTTCCTAATGGTCGAAAAATCAGAGGCAAGTATATTTCAATCTAACCTCTCCTTTACTGCGTAATATTTGTTATCAACTGCATGTGTACAATTTCTGATTGTATGGATGTAGAACGAGTTACACTATCAGAGTTTTATTGTCAACTGTCACTAGTTTCGATAGATCCTCTTGTTGAGACCGAATAACATAATCATGAGACTAATAATTTTATTGGCTATTTAATTATGTGTTATTGTAATCGACTTCATAACATTTATCTTACCTCCAGAATTAAATATTGAAATAATCACAATTAAAAGAGATTTTTCAAAATGTTTGTTACCAGAATTTTGTTGGCAGAATGGCAGTAAGAATATAATAGAATCTGTTGATAGAATGTAACAGATTGACTACAGAAAAACTGATAATTAGAAATCAGGGGGTCGATTCTAAGTATCTTAAAATGAGGTAAAAATTACAAAAATGTACAAACTTACTAGGTATTTGACCAATAAAATTATAAATATTTTATTAAATTTGCTCACTTTTGTCATTTACGTTGTTATAAAATATTAAATCAACCTTCAGGGATTAGGGGATCAATTGTATGAGTGCTTTCCATTTGGTGACACAAGTGTCATTCTATTCTTTGTTACTTTCTGAATGTCAAGAAAGATAGAATGACGTTTGTATCGACATGTGTCCAGTAAATGGAAAGCATCTTTATATTGTTTATTTTGAAATAAAGTAAAAATTATAAAACAAATTTATTAGGTGTTGATCAATGAAATTATAAATATTGTAGTGAATATTTACTAACTTTTATAATTTTTATCTTATTTTAAAATATATATACAAATCTCTTGCTCATTTACTGTCAGATTACATTTGTAGATTCTGCTGGCTTAGTTAAATTTAACGTAGTTGCAGTTGCTAATTAATAGAAATTGATCTGCGGTAATATTCTGTTCTCAAAAGTACTAGTGAATTATGCTACTAACATTTTGCTTATTGGATATGTGAAAAGTGTGTGTGCATGAAAATCTTAATATATTTTACCGGAAAGAAGCTCATTTGAATATATATTCTATTTTTGAATGATTTATCCATGAAAAAAAAGTTAAAAATTCAAATATCTTTATATAACTATTACATTCAATTAATTTAGTGGATAACTGTTTGATTTTAGTATAACATCTGTTGTTCACATCAACTATTCTTTTTTTGAATGATTTATTTGTGAGAAGTTAAAAATTCTAACATTTTTTATATGTAATTACATTTAATTCGGTAGATAATTGTTTTACTCGATTAATTTATAATACAAAATTTTATTGTCTTATTTTATCGTTAATATTATATTTGGAAAATTAGGATATGTTACGTTTTAATATTTAATTGCTTAGATATATTTTTTTATATCATTTACTTTAAGAATTATATATAGTCAGCAATAACATTTATGATTCTAATTAGTATGCCAAATTTACAGAGATGCCGTTATCAGAAGAAGACATGATGGCTTTCAAGATCCCTCATGACAGACGTGATTATTGTGCCCACAAGTATATGGAATTACATGAGTGTAAGAGAATTCATTTTCCCTTCATGTTGAAGTGCGCGCATGAAAGACATGAATATAACAAGTGTTACGTTGAAGAGTAAGTATCTCATATCGTTTGAAATATCTGTATCGTATTATAAATGTTCAAGGTACTAATATTAGTAATAATATTGTATCTGTTATAGTTACGTCATAAGAATGAAAGAATATGAAAGGGAACGTCGTCTTCTTGAAAGAGAAAAAAGAATACGGCAAGCAGTAGCAGCGTGAAAATCCATTGAATCTTGATAATTTTAATTCATTGTCGTCGGTAACTTAGACTACACATATGTAAAGAAGGAATTACGTTCCGCTATTGTACATGAACTATATCAATAAAATGTATTTAACTATAAATTTTCTACTTCATGAAATAATAAATAAACGCAGTAATAATCTGTTTGACAATCTGCGTTAGATTAATATCAAATTCTAATTGCTAAGATCGAACTACTGAAAATTATTTCGGATTTTGATTATATATTACGGTAATTATTTGGAATAGATTCCGATTGGAATTATTCCGTTTTCCCGAGAAAACACAATAGGAATAATTAAATTCTAATTGGAATCTGTTCCAAATAATTTCATAACACATACCTTAGAAAAATATAAGGTATTTCACGCTTTACAGAGATTTGTGAAAACGTGTGCGATCATCGTTTGTGCATTTCCGAAGCGCTTTAAAATTTGTATTAAAGTTAAAGCTAGATGACTATTTTAAATGTTTATTATTTTTGGTATTTAATAAAATTAAGATATAACCAACAATTTAGAATGTTGTTTTTGTAAATACATATCTATTATTATTGATTTGATAAACACTTTATAATTTCCTTATATGAGATTTTTTTAATTTTAGGAACAAGCTTGTTGCGTTGGAAAATTTTCTTGTAAAGAAGATTGAACTTCCACCTGTATATATTGTGACTAGCTGAATTGACAAATTTAATGAAATAAAATTATATAATTGTTTTTACAGAAATTAAATATTATTTAAAATAAAACAGAGCGTTTAGTTTAAAACATTTTTTAAACAAATCTTTGAGATATTTCCAAATGTACTTTTAAAAATTAAACACACTTTTATGTATTTTTGAATAAGACATTTTTCAAAATTAAACTCTTTTTAGTGTCTTGCATGTTTGTTTAGAACTAAAAAATATTTTTAAATATTTAAAAGAGACAAGGCTAAAACATTTTAATATCTTAAAATTATTAAATCTTTCATGAATATTAGATAATTAATTTACAGGCGCAAATTCAAAATAGAATTCACATCTAGAGTTGATATTTGAATTAATATTTTATTCATCATTACAAAATGGGAGATACAATATGTACAAGACGGTGCACGTACGCGCGACCGGCGTATGCGAGAGCCGTAACCCTAAGATTATTGTCTCGCGTCGAAAGAATAATTTATCATCTTATCATACAACTGTTAAACCCCGAGAGCCTCATCGCAATCGTCTCTCGGCCATCGTCCTGCATTGTTCGCGGCGTTCGCGGTATCGCTTCGTGCGCTTCTCGTGGCTGCGCAGCTTCATCGAGGAAATCGATAAAATGGGAAACGCCGCGCCGTGCGGACGTGCAATTCCGCGGGTCCTCTCCGACGGTGTCGGACCGTGTGTCCGCGCCGCGCCGGTTTTATCGCTTCTTCGTGACATTCGTCATCTCGCTATATAATCCCGTGGAAGTAAAATAAGTGGTGAAACATCAGCGTGATTTCACAAGACAATTCTCTTCCTGTTTTCAATCAAATAATATATAAATATACTTCTATATACACATATATCGCCTCTCTGTGCCTCACAGAATGGTGAGTTTAACAAGACGAATCGAAGTAATAAAAAATAATACATTAAAGTATAGATATAATTTGAGATTTCCTCCACACATAGGCGTATTAGTGTTTGATCGCGACTTGGAAGTTTCGTTTTGTTATTCGGAGAGAATGATTTTATGTGCTAAAGTATCTAAAAATTTAGCTAGATAATATACGGATCTAACAATAATTTTGTTGGACTATCAAATTATTATACATACAGAACATTCAAACATAATGAGCAATACTGTATATATGTATATATATATATATATGGTTTTGGCATTTTAGCAATTAACTTGAACGTTCTTCAAAATTTATATCAAGAACAATATACGAGAAATATTTATTTTTCTTTCTGTATCTAGCTAAATTTTTAAATACTTCAGCAAATTTGTTCTTGCCATGTAAGGATTTTTCAGGAAGGCGAAATTTGTATCACAATGTATTGTTGATATTGGATATATGAATTCGTTCTCTCGTACATTTCTAGCAATTTCTTGATATAAATTTATTGGTAAGGGTATGTCGTAATAATCCGTGCCGCACTGCGGTATATCTGGAAGTCTCTGTAGCATTGGCGAGAGCAGTACATTGCACCTTTTCCGATTGTTTCATTTCTCGAATTGAAAAGCTGCAGCAATCTCGACTGCTTTAAATATAATGCAAAGATGAGCTTTTTAGATATATTTTCATTTGTTTTATATTAATTAATTGGCTCCAGAATTATTTAAGAGTTACACGAAGAACATATCGTGCGCGTGTGAGTCTTCAAATTTGTATTTTAATTTTAATAAATTTATAAATATCGAACATACACACATGATTGCACAATTTTTAAGACCGATTTATGGCAGAGTATTTTTCCAATTGTAACCAATGTGTGTGTGTAATTTTCAGGCCGCATATATTTTATTATTACTTCGTTTCGTCTTTGAGTTTGTCGTTGGATTTATCGCAACATCAAAATTTTAGGTTTTTTATCCTCAAAAAAGGAAAAAAATACATTTACCGTTCATTTTATTTAACTTATTTCTTTCTCTCCTGACATTTCTTAAGCTCCTAAAGAACAATCTTAATTGGGCGATGAAGACCGATTAAAATATAATAGAGGCAACATTTTAAAGCTATTAAAATTAATCCAAGGTGCGTGTGAGACCTGAGATATCCTGCGGAAGATACACGCTCGGCGAGGGTATAACAAATAAAAATACTCTTCCTAAGAGGAAGAAATCTTTGTACTCCGCACCAGTGAAATGTTTGACCTCGATTATCTATCAGAAAAACGTTTTAACACGACGTTCATGTATCGGGAGCCAATACAATTTATCTCTGCAAAAGCAGAAACCAAACAATCACATTTGATCGCTACCGGACGTAAAGGCATTTCTAGTAGATAGTCCTTCCCATGTCGTCGCAGACTTTTCATTGTATCGCCTCGGCAAACAGATAAGAAATAACAATAATATTAACCCGTTGACCAACTGACCCTTCTTTCCCATTTGTCTTTTTTCCTGGCTTTCAAGATTTTCCCCTATTTGCAATTCTTTGTAGTTATTTATGTATAAGAATTATAAATTATTGTCAGTATAACTTTTGTTTGTCGCCACAATTCTCTTTTTATCGACCTATTTATTTAGTTCCGTTGTTTTCAGAATAGCAAGAGATTAGGAATTTCGATATTTCGCGTGCATTTAAATATTAAAATTTTTCTCGTATTTTGTTGACCCAATTGACATTTTCAAGTATACGACTGCTCAATGAGTTCCTCATCTGTTGATACATTAATGAGCGTAAAAGTTCACTAATGTAGAAAGGAGCCACATTTCGACGCGACATGTGTGTACGTGTGTATTGCGTGTTTCGTTCATCGGAACGAAGATTTTCCCTTTCGTATGTTCCCTCGTGTATTCTATTCAGCCTTGAGTTCTTTTGCGGACTTTCCTTTGCGGTAAGCGGACCTGTAAAAGTCCGAGAAGAGCACGAAGAAGATCGCCGCGTGAAGTAGAAGGAGGGCCGCAATCAGTTTGGGATAGCCGCAATCGAAGATGAGGGCCTGTGCACTATGCACAAACACCAGGAAGAACTGCACCTGCAAAATCAATTCAACAATTCAGCAGATTTAACAATACAGACGGACACTAGAATTTATAAATGGTGAGTAACTTTATCGAGAGTCAAAAGCTGATATTTATAGTCGAATCTTAATTTTAGCACTGTCCGAGAAATATTGTTTTAAGATGTCATGAACCATGTCAGAGAACCGTATTAGCATCTTAAGATATTATTACTTAAGACGGTCTTATAATAAGAACAGACTATGAATATCACCCAGAATTTTGGATTTAAACATATAAATCCAGAAATCTTATAATTTATGTAAAAATTATGTTATATACCACATAATAGTATATGAATCTTGTAATTCATAATTTATATAATTAATTGACAGTTAATTAATTTAAGCTTGCGTCTTTTTTAAATAAGTGTTTAATAGAGAGTCGAGACGTATTTACACCGTGCGTATTATGTTTTTCTCGATTTCTGCACAGCCGTGCGTTGCGTACATATTACTCGGTTGACTCGATCAACTCTGTATTGCAACCGAATTCATTAAGCGATTCGAAGAAAGAACGCAATGCAGTATGTAGCAATAACTGTTCATATATCTAATATACCCAGTGCATATCGTTCTCTCTTAACGTACAACGATCGAGAGGCCAGTCCGTGAATGAGACAATATTTATAGCGTGCGAACGTTGATGTCGCGGTATAACTTTTGTGTAAGATTTGCCTTATGAGTTAGGTATTTCTCGTGTCTAAATTATCTTTGAAGTATAAGACGTGAGAAAGAAAAAGCGATTCTTAGTCAATGGGGTGAGTCGTCACACATAAATGTCAAACACACGTTGACCGACTTATAGAAAATATACGGATAGGTGTGCGATGATCGAGTTTCCGATGTGCGGATATAGTTAAATTCACCGTGAATTTGTTAGTAAAAACTCGTAGACTTTACTACTTTATTATTGATTCTTTTAATATCGAGTCTATAATCTTATCTCAACCCTGTTTTCACGTAAAACGGGATTTGTGAGCAAATGTGTCTGATCCGTGGATAAACGCGTTTATTTTTGAAAGATTATTTCACATGTGTGTCTCAAAGATATTATCATGTCACATATATTATTTAATTGTATGTTATTATATTATTATATATTGTATATAATTGTATATTATTATTGTTTTTATTATTATATATTATATATTATTATGTATCAAGATATTAAATAAGTGTTGTTAACTAAATTAAGTTTGAGTTAATAAATGTAATCAAAATGAAAACGTGTGATAACGTTTTTTTTTTAGATTTGTACGCACAAGCTGATAAAATTATTTTTATATCGCGTGAATTTGCGACATTCGCATGTTCATTATGTGATTTAGAATTAAAATTTTTCAAACTGAATAATTCACTAAAGCCGTTCACTTATTTTTAAATGTCAAAGAGTTCATTATTAAATTTGTCGAAGAAATTGAAAAAAATTCATGTTGCGATAATCTAATATTTAATTAATCTTAATTAAGCCTTAATCCGTGAAATGATTTGACTGATGTGGATACAATTGTGTAAATTATTTTTTACAACTCGTATAATATGTCATACTAATTTTGTAATTGATGTATTTATTGCAATAAGTATATAGGATTTTCTGAATAATTTACTAGAATTTTATTCTTTTCATTCTCACTTATCTAAATGCCAAATATCTTGCATCTTGATTCGCTAAGTACGCCATAGAAATATTTTTTGTTAGTATAATGCAATCGACAACCTTTTACAGGACGAATTGATTGCGGTTTAAAAGTTTTAAATAAAAATGCACGCGTCCAATTCTATTGAAAAGTGATCAGACTATCGTTCCTTAACTTCTTGAACTTTTCATTTAATTTCGTTTCGCAAAATTAATTTTCAAGCAAAACTATGAATTTTCGATCATTATCCATTCAAACAATCAGATATCTCATTTAAGTTCTTTGCGTATGTAGTAGTCGATGTAGCAACCACGATACGTGAAAGATTAAATGGCAGCGTATCTCTATAAATCTCTCATTCGATTCAAAGTACTTTCGTCATCGAAGAAATTTTTTTTTTCTGAATGCGCCGCTTGTGTCCCTGTGTGTTCTCGTCTTACGACGGAGTCCCTCGAGAGAATGCATCACGAGAGGACACAAAGCGGAGTCCGTTGGTACACCTGTACCTCGGGCGGACATGTTCGCCGGTATGTATCAATGGTCTTGCGAGATAAACTGGGATAGGTTGAAGCATATAGGTGAGGCTTCGTAGGTATGCGGCCGGTTCGTGGTAGCTCGCGACGACGACAACGACGACGACGACGACGCGGTGGTGGTGGCGGCAGCGGTGGTGGTCGCAGCGGTGGTGGCGACAAGGACAGACGGTGGTGATGATGACGATGGTGTCGGTGGCGGTGATGGTGGTTGCGATGATGGTAGTTGTATACAGGTGCTGTATGGCATATCGGAATGCCAAATTATTGCGCCACTGCTAACGTGGTTGGCCGAGTTCGGCGGCCGGCTAAAGCGAGGTCTAGTCGAGTCGAATTGCCCAACGCGCGTTGTACTTTTCACTTTCCCTCACCCCTACCTACGTACGCTTGGCGTGAAATTTTGCCTAGGTAGAGACCGGGATTGACCGATCTAACGAACACCAATGGCCGATGGCCCAGAATCCGCGAGCAATCGCGAGTTCGTTCGCGCAATTCGCGTATCCGGGCCGACCATGCCGCCGGTTTTTCGAACGTGCCCTCTTTTCAGCGACGAAGTCAATTTTAGCGATCTCCCGATTAGTAAGTACGGTACTCCGCCTTTCGCTGAACGAGCTCCACCGATTTTTCCGATTGTCCCGCAACAGGATGGCTTGCTAAATGTTTTTCGCTGTTATCGTGACTTTGGTTGCACATCATTCATTTACACGTAATCTTTTGCTTGCATTTCGCAAAATATTTTATTTCAATTTCATCTCATAATAAAGCATTCTATTAATCGGATAATATGTTATAAGACATTAATATCATGTTATATTTAATTAGATTAAAATTGATAAAATTAATTAAATTTTAATTAGAAAATTATGTGTATATATGGATTATAACGTACAAGTTTATGAAATTTAAAAGAAATCTTCTAAATATTGAATGCCTATAATTTAAATAATTTCGGAAATTTAAGAAATTACTTTCTGAAATGTTTTAAGTGGTGTAAATAATAAAAATATATTATATTTCAAATGTGCATAAATTTTTGTAATTATACCGTAAATGATTTGCATATTAAGATTTTTTTATTTATTTTAATAGCATATGAGATTTTTTTTTTTTCCAAGTAGGATGCACCACTTTTTATATATACTTAAGAGTAAATATTATAACATTTTTTGAAGCTACAATGTGAAACGTATTATCCTCGCATAATTTGTTTCAAGTCTACGCAATGTATTTCATTACAAATTTCGTGAAATACTTCCTAGACAAAGTACAAATCATCAATCATCGCAGTTTTCCCCATTAATTTAAAGCGCGCAATTGATTTAAAGTCATTATAATTATCGTTGTGTGATAAACGTACGGCGAGACTTGTTTTTCTCAGATCTTAAATTGTAAAGATATTTTTCTTTGCATGTGTAAGAAAAACTAGCAAATGCGAAATACTCGTATGTTCCGTAAAATTCAATGTGATGAGTGAGAATCTATTTTTATTTATCGAAATTTTCTATCTTAAAAAAGTTTCCTCAATTATACTTACTATTCAAACACTATAAATTTAATTGCGTCACCGTAATTGGTACTCAGTGCTTGATTCTCATCTGAAAAAGCTGTTGTTGAAACGGTGGCATACATTACGTCGAAAAATGAATTCGTAGGAGGAAAGCAAACACACTACGCGCCTCGATGGACGATTAGCATAGTTTACGTATTGCCGATGTGCACCCTTTAAATCTTTAAAGCACACTCAATGGGTCAGTAGTGCCTATCCATTCACTTTCAACGACGTGGGTTATTATCGGCACGACGCGAAACCCGACGCGTTGTGCAAGAAGAAGGTATCACGAATCCATACGAAAAAAATCGCTCTCCGCGCTACTATCGCACATTCGTAATTCGGAACATTGGGTCACGTGTTGCATTTTTGCGTTACACTTGCTTGGCATTATTGCGTACAATCGAAGTGTGTATACGAACGGGCAAACATCCGACCGGCTTAAATTATACACTATGTAACGAGAAAAGAAATTCCTTTTCTAAAAGATAGTAATTTTTTCCAGATTCCTTTACGTCAAACATATAATCCATCTTAAATTGATCTATATAATTCGGAACAAACTTTTATCTCTATGATTTTCTACGTTAAATCGTGCTTAAAATTGTGTAATTATATGTGTTAGAAAAGATTCCGGTTATCCTTTTATTATATTTTTTGAATTAAATCTAAATGTGCACGTTTTAAAATTGCGCATATTGTTTGTGTGTTTTAACTCTAATTTTAACTCTAATTCTCCTTAATTCTTAATTTAAACCCTTGGACTGATATATAAGTGATAGCTTAAGTTTATTCCTATTAGTTTAAAAAGAAATACTTTTGAACTTTATTTAAATGTATCGTTTAAAAATTGTACATATTGTTTATTTTAACTTTATCTTTCCTTAATTTTCAATTCAAACCCTTTAAGTGTCATATGAGTTGTAATTTAAGTTTATTCATATTAATTTAGAAAGAGATGTTTTTGGATTTGATCTAAATACACTATAAAAATTGTAGATGTTTATTTTTTTAAATTTTAATTTTCTTCTTAATAATTAATTCAAGTTCTTGAAACGATATAGATGAATGATTTGTATCAATTTAAGAAGAGGTGCGACTCGATTGACTACTCACCAATTGTACAGTAGTTAGGTGCTTTTTCCACCATAAGTACTTTTGAAATTCCGGGCCCATGGCCGCTAACATGTAATATGCGTACATGACTACGTGCACCGCGTTGTTTATGAGATTACCCAGAGTGCCATGACCACCCGCAATAAATTTCACGCAGATCCACGTCTCGAGGGGTGTTAAAGAATGGTGATACAAATGCAGGAATGTCACTTGACTGTCCTTCTTGCGCAGCACAAAGAATACCTGAAATGTTGATGAGCAATATTGTTACGAAATTTTACGAGCTCTCGTAATTTCCTGTTACTTAATTTGGATTTAGATTCATTGATCTATGATTTAGGATCGCGTCCTCTTCCTCTGTCATGACTTAAAAAATAAATTGTAAGTAATGCTAATTAATAATAAAGAGAGGGGGAGGGTACATAAAGTATTCCGAAATTAGAATTAAAAGAAATCAGAATTAAATATTTTTATTTTTACTTTTTACTAAGGAAACTTATTTCTTCTTAATTTTTGATTCAATCAAAGGCGTTAAAGCTTTCGAACCTTATCAACTTAAAATAAATTATACATTAATGGTTTAACTCGTTAAAAATAATTTATTCTGATTTAATTTTACGTAACTTGTTTACTTGTTCAGTTTACTTATTAATATTTTCGAATTAAAAAATGAGAATTATCTTATCGACCGTTTATTTCGAAAGAAAAAAGTAAGTGATATTTTATTGTCGTGTTAATTGTCGATAATGCGAGGCTCGCGAGTTATATCTGCTGGAAAATATCTACGTTTATTTAACGGAAACGTGATGATTTTCGTCATCCAGGCACGATAGAACGCGATAGTGGAAACATACACCGCCATCAGAATTGAGTAACGAATGACGAAAAGCCCGTTTCGCGATGATTCCTGCATTTGGCTGAATTTCGTACACGTACGCAGTGTCGAAAATCTGCTTAAGAGCGCTTTCTCTCTTTATATCTCTCTTTTTCGCTTTGCTGGCAAAGCTAAACACCCGCTTTACGAATTGTCGGGTCAGAATACCTAACAAACGAGTGGCGATCGGTCGATTAAATCTTATCTGCTCCTTTAATCCGCTGGTATTGCGTGCTCGACAGCGATTCGGCACTGCTCGTGCTCACTCGCGCTAATGGGAATGATTGCTTAAGGGTTATTGCGCCGCGAGAAGGGATACATGAGCGTTCGTACATAATTATGCGATTCTCGCGGAATAGCTAGCGGGGAATAGTTTTCCACTTCTCTCTCTTTCTCTACCTTTCGGTCTGTTTACGCGTATATACATTCATTGAAAATGCAGAGCGTTCACCAGATCCCGGTACGACAAACAAGAGATAACGCAATACGTTTTTCTTGGTTGACTGCGCACAATTTTCGAGAGAAAAGTAAGTTTGCGCGAATTAAGAATCGAAAGTGTACGCGGATAATAGAACATTTTTCGCCCTTTTATATTCGAATTAGATTTGGTCTTACCAAATTTTTTATATCTTGCGTGGCTAAAACTGGTTTTGGTCACTTTGCATAGAGATAACGCAGAGTATATTGATGGCATAATTTCGTTCTATTTCCAAACCTGAGGTAGATATTTGTAATAACTTTCGTTTTTAAATTAAGAAAAAATCTAAATAAAAATACAGGTGCCAGAGGATTAATGATTTTTAGTGTTTTTTAATAGAATATAAGAGAAAGTTCTATGCGCTTTGATGTATATGTGTTTTATAAAGATAGTGCGTTTCAATTTATGCTTTGCTGTTTTGATAGCTTTCGGCGAAAAGAATCGAAAGACATTTTTATTTCTATTCTATTTGTTTGTTTTCATGAATACACGCAATTTAATTAACAATAGATATAAGTATAATGTATAATTTATATTAATTTTTTTAATTTAATGAAATTCAAAATTGATCAATCTGTAAATTTTGTAGTGACTACTGTTAGTATTATGTGATAGGCGAATTTATGAAAATGAAGTATACCGTATCAGCGAATTCCGTGAACTTGCTAATGAAGTACCACCAACATAGGTTCGCCATCCTCAGAGCAGATGGATTGTGGGAGTAATCGACCGGTTGACATTTATAGCTGTAGTCCAACAGCCATCCGGACATTAAGTGCTGTAAAAGAATGATAAACATTCGGTTAAACGTATTAATTACCTTTAACGGAGCAACTTCAATTCTTGAGCGACCTCGTAAATCATTAAAGGTAATTGATTACCACAAATCGTTCATTTCGACATTAACAAGAAAATATAAAACGTTTCAAAGCCAGACGTAATGTAGGCTGTCGTAACATAATATCGGTTTGAACTTTGAACAAATATTGATTTTATTTCATCATATCATGAAAAATGGTAACCATGTTTTCTCGTCGGTGCGAGAGATGACGAAAGTAAAACAAATTATGGTTACCGAACGGAAGAGGAACGATATAGTTTAGATAATTTTATAGATATATGTTTTATATTTCTTTTAATATATTTGCGATAATATTATCTGTAATTGCCATTGGCGTTTTAAATCACTCTTTCATCGTTTTTGGTGCCTTCGATCCGGTTATAAATCGATCCGAAAGTTTACCTTGAAAAGATTGTGTTATACATGTTACCAATTTTCATACAACGAGAGTGACAGCAAGTATAAATATGTTTCAGGAGAAACTGTACGTTTTGAGGCCACGTTCTATTTAATACATCCAATTTTTAGAAAAAATCACTCTGTTAAGTCGATATTTATCTCAATGTTGGCTTTTTTCCACGATACTAGTTAATTCTTTCGCTGTGTATATACGAGTACTTCGAACTACGTGGGCAACTTGAAAAGTTTCTTAAGTCACACAGAGATAATGCGCGTATCAAAAAAGACATAATAATGGCTAAAAGGTACATGGATTTCGTCTGGTGAACCGGCCCCAAAGAAAGCCAAGTCAGTTTTATGCTGGGAGGGTTATGGCCACCATTTTTTGGAATTTTAAAAGCATCATCCACATTAACTACTTAGAAAAGGGAAAAACAATAACGGGAAAATACTATGCTGATTTGTTGGGCTGTTTTGATAAAGAATTGAAGGAAAAACGCTTTCATTTAACCAAAAAAATATTGTTATTCCATCACGGTAACACCCATTCATCCGCAATTGTCACCGCAAAATTGATCGAATTACGATACGAATTGCTGTCTTATTCACCATACTCTCCAGATTTGGTCCCATGCGACTTCTTTTTGTTCCCAAACCTGAAGATTTGGCTCGGAGGAAAGAGATTTGCGTCGAATGAGGTCATCGCCGCCACGAACGTCTATTTTGCAGAGTTTCAGCCATCGTACTTTTTGTACGGCTTGAAAAAATTGGAGCACAACTGGTCTAAATGTATTGAATTAAAAGAAGATTATATTGAAAAATAAAATGAAACTTTTCTGAAAAGATGTTTTCTTTCTGACTTAAGAAACTTTTCAAATTGCCCACGTATAAGCAGCTGCTGTCTTAGTAAAAACTGTTCCGACAATTCGATAGATATTAATGTAAATAATTTCGCATTACTTATATAAAGCTTTATCTATGTAAACAATATGAAAATAATAATCAGGATACATGAATACAAACGACAAATTTATATCTCATTTTAATTTATGATAATTATTGTAATTTATGTAGTATGTATAAATTAAAAGATTGAACCGATACTAAATAGCAAAGTCAATGTCAATTGAGCTGAGAAAATTAATAGAGTGAACGCATATGCATATGTATGTATAATTACTGATCCTAATCACATGAACTCCACCCGATGCTTTATCTTTTAATCGCTTATACAAATTATCGTGATCTTGATACTTTCTTGTTTGAATTTCCGTCATTCTACTACAATCTTAATCAATATTTCCGCGAACTTTATATACGTATTGAAATAACACGCATAAATTAGAATTTAAATTCATTTCCACGCAACTAGAAATAAACGTACATAGTTATATATTTATATTTAATATATTAGGGCATTGAAAAATTTGATAAGAAAATAAATTTTTTTTGTTAAAATATATATATTACATATGTTCAATAAAAAAATTATTTTTTAAAATAATTCTTATATTCTTCAAATAATTTTTATTTTTTTAAATGGAGTGCAATTAAGTTAAATTTTAGGGTAGATTTTATATTATTTTGATCGCAATTGATGATATATATATTGTTTTATTCACTCCAAAGAAAAAAGCCATCACGATTTTATATTTGGATACTTTAACGAGCAAAACTATCTTGGAAAAGCTGTGCCATTTTGTGTATATAAAAAGCTTTCCTGACCGACTCTCTAACTGAAGCAGCAGTTATTGCGGTTAGTCACTTCTTCAAAGTGCACTTTCGCGCGGATGCAACCGTTCATTATCCATTCTCTGGCGCGTGAAAATTTGTTTTTTGTTTGACCTTCCGCACGGAGTTTTACTTTGTCTTTTCGATCGTGCTCCGTGGGAGTGGTGTAAACGGGACTTGCAATCAGTACTTTATAGAAAGTCGAAAGCAGGACGTCTCGGTGTAATGAAACGAATGTGCGGGTGCATATAGATAGATTGAGTAACGATTAAGATTTGGTTACTGGAAGATACTGTAATTTAGGTACACATACTTTTCTTCCTTCAGTCCGAGATTATACCATGCTTAAGAAGTGACTACTAAATAAATATTTTAATATAATAAAATAAATGTTTTAACGTAATAAAATAAATATTTTTATTTGAATGAAAAAATCGGAATCTTATCTTAAATATACATTGGATATTTTAAATTAACAACTGCCTCCTCCCCTCCCACATACGAGTACACACACATGATTAATATCTACATATATTATAAAAGCATACATAGAAAAAATTACATTATATTGATACACGAAATTCGCGGGAATATTAATGAATATTGTAGAATAACGAAGTGGAAAAATCCATCGTAAAGGATTTATTGAATAAGATTCGATAACAGGACGTAATTACGTCATTTGAAAGGCTCAAAACAATCGATCGGTAGCAAGTAAAAAATATCTCGCTGTGACTTTAATATTCTGATTAATCATTAGTATTTTAATTACAGAATATTCTGGTAATCTTTTTGTTTAGAATAAAAAATAATATATACCTCTGTTTACACACACAATAAGTCTAAACTTATACCACACATTGATATAAGTAGGTCAAGGCTATCAACGGAAAAGCACAGATCCCATGTTTGGAATTATATAATTATGTCGTAAGTCCCCTTCATTGGAAAGTTGATTAATAAGATCAAAATTGTGACAAACTTAATGCTGTTATTCTTACAACAGTTTATGGCAAAGAGTACAATTTTAAATTGAAGAAAACGAACGCTTAAGAGAAAATTTAGTAGCATTAAAATTTCATGATTTTTAAAAAATATTTAATTGATTGAATATTATTCGAATTTTATCAACATTTTGTTTTTGCCTATATCTAAATTAATTATAACGTTTGAAGAAATGTCTCACAATCGGTCAAAGGTTGAGAAATTTGTAATAAGTCTGTACTTCAATTTCTTTATTCATAAATAGTTTCAATACTTTTTGTAATATTGAACAACTTTGAAAGATTACTGTTTTTTTATAATAATCATGTTCTTAAGGACATTGCAAGTATTTTGTCAGTGAACGGGTATGTGTCGAATTAAATTTCACCGCCTATCATCTATAACTATCAATTTAAATCCTACGATTCGCAGTGAATCTGAATTACTAATTAATTATAATATATAATTAAAGGATGAATCTAATTATGAGTTATTATTAATTAAGATGCAAATTAATTAAGTTTAATATAAAGCGATCGAAAATAATTAATCAAAATATGAATTTCCACACAATTTGTTCCACACAAATGCGTGTTAAAATAAGAAAGTCAATGATCGAGACAATAAATTTTAAACTATTCTATCTTCTTTATTGTAGTTTATTCGTTTTATACGCAACACTTGGAAGGAACTTGTTGAAAACTAGTTGAGTAAAATTCACAAATTTTATTTTAATATCGTATTTATAATATATATGTTTATTTTGATTTATATTCAATAAGCCATGGCATTATGAGTTTCCCTATGATTATAGATTCATGTGTGTGTGACTTTTGACTTCTCAGCGATTTGCATAAGAGTTACGGTGTAGTACAAGATAAGATAAGAAAACTTGCTCGTTATATATCTAATATGTGTAATGATATATGCGGTAACTAATTAACACTTGTAAAACTTTTAATCAAGACATATTGCTCTCTTATTTCAAAAATATAATACAACTCAAAAACGGGATTTTTTAGTTGTTACCATGACTGAGTTCATGCTAGAACTGCTGATAGTATCTCGCTAGAACTACCGAAGGTGTCAATTTACTATGCTTGATTTCAATCAGTGAAAAGTTATTTTGATACTAATTATATCATTAAGATTAATTATATTACATTTATATATTTTCAATATTTTGTACAGTATACCTATATATATATATATATATATATATACACATTGTATATCTAATACAAAAAAGTAGAAATAATTTGATGATGTTAAGTAAATATTAATTATTAAAAGTAAACTACTTCAACTATATAGAAAATCACAATTTAAAAAAGTGAGTTTTTATAAGAATAAAAATAACGTCAAATAAAAATAACATTTGATTATGTTAAGAATATATTCTTTTATGAATATCATTTGTTTAGTCAATAATTTTTTATTAAATTGAAAAATAGATTTTCCTTTTCTGGAGAACTTATGACGAATTCAATGCACATTGGTGCATATTATAGCCATTGTGTATACTAATTCACATTTTCAATGTAAAAGTGAAATATAAATATTTTTTGAATTATAAATACATATTTTGTTTAACAGCACAATAAAATATATTGAAGATTTTGCGGTTTAATATATTTCTATTTATATTAAATACAAATTTTTATGTCAATCCAGTGAATATTGAGTGCATTTGATTTAAATTTAATTTGTTGTGTTCTTTTGTCACTTTTGAAGTAAGAGAGATATGACAATTGTATTATATCTTGTACCATTTAAGCTGAATGCATTAATTTCACGCGATATACTGAGAGAAAAGTGTTTAGCATTAGTGACTATAATTACATGTTAAATTAATTATGATTATGGTAAAAGTTCCATTTTTTTTATAGTTTTTGTTACAGTAGTAACTATTTCTACTTTAATATTAATAATAATATTTATATTCATCGTTTTACTAAAAATATATGGTTGGTAGTTTTGGTACCGAAAAAGTGGACTTTAAATTATGATTAAACTATGATAATTGCAATCATTTTTTTCTCATAGTATGGTCGATGAAGTTCTAGGTCGAAGTCTCTTCTTGGATCTTTGTCAATGATTATACGATTCTATTCATCACATCTCCTTTCACCGTCACACTTTGTTAGCCGTATTGGTTCGGCAAACGAGGATTATACATGGCTGTTTGCTTTGATAATTCATAATCCTCCTCATGATTAGCCATCTGATAATTTTCGATCTCGAATACGTACATATCGGCGCGACGGCATACTTACATCGTGACCTATATATAACGAGTAAGTTGTTTGACCGGCTTCCAACCGCCAGCTGAGTCCTTAGATCCCGGCGGATCGTCGGCATTCATGAACTTTGCACGTCATGTACGATATAACGAGAACTTAATGATGGTTATAAGAAAACGCGAAAGTCAAGGGTGACGTGGAAGGTTGTCTCGAGGCTCTTTCTTTCTCTCTTTCTCGTATAACGCTCTCATTCTTTTCCTTTCTCTCTTATTTCTTCCATTTCTCTTGCATTTTCTGCGAGCATTGTTTTTCCGCCCATGGATTGCATGATTTCGTAAATTACAGGATTTCTAACTTGTGTGCTTCTTCATCTACTTTCTGATTCTTGATACTTGTTTGTCTATCGATTATATCTCTTTCGACTCCTCTATTATATTTCATTTCATAATATAACGATTTCAAATCAGATATTTCCTTACTGTATTTAATTGGGTATATTACGTTAGTTTATATTTTATAACATTAATTTTTGAAAAAGCGTTTTACTGGATTGTTTAGAAGTTCGTGCGAATGTTTTAATATACTCAAAAAAGAAGTATTCAATTTTAAAATATTTTATTCTTCTCTCCGTTTTTTAAACATTTAAAAATGTTTTAGACTTTTTTAATAAACAAAACGCTATGTGTTTGGATTAAAAACACTAAAACGTTTAAAATTGAAATGTATTTTATTATTAAACGTTTGTTTTAAAAAGATATTTTAAACGTAAATATTATATATAGTTTAAACACTGCAGTTTTTATAGTGTAGAGAAGATATTCAAAAGCTTCCTTCTGTTTAATGAAACTCGACCTCTGTGTATGAGCAGAATTTTAAATTATTAAAAAAAAAAATTGGAAAACATTATGGATATAAAATGGTGCATTATAATACAGATTAAAATTATTTTTATCTAAACATTCTTTTCATTTGATTTTTGCTTGAAAATTTGCAAACTTCCTAGATATTATTCCAAATTATACACGTTTATAACGTACCGATGATAATCTTATTTTTTTTTAAATAATAAAAAATGTTTACCTCGTACATCATTCCTAGCGAGAAGACGACTTGAAACGCGTTGTATGCCACCAGGACTCCTCTGAGTTTATATGGCTTTCTGTTGGCCATCATACGCGGGCCGAATATAACAACGCCGTACAAATAAAGGAGTACTATAAGGATTGTCGGTACAGGCGAGTCCATTAATGGCCAGTCGCTAACACGTGGATCAGAAACTGTTGTGAGAATTTCTGTGTACTGATCTAGAGCCATTCTGACCAGACCCTGGGCACCACCGAATGTCCTATTTAAATCCGTCATCTCGATCCTCAACTCCGGTTCTCTCTCCGCTACCAATTCTGCTGCCGCCGACGCCATCTCTATAAATACAAATTAATATGATTAAAAATATAATTATGATATATAATTATAATTATAAGATTTAATCAAATCGGGAATTTAAAGATTTTGAATCTAAAGCAGATGTTTTTAAAAGAACTTTATAAATATCAATACGTTAAATTTAGATTTTTATTAATTTCAGAATATTTTTATATATACATAATGTGTGAGGAAAGAATATTTAGAACATTTTATTTATCATACTGATTGGAAAAAAATTTAATTTTTTGTAATTATACAGGTTAATACGTATATAACTTCTTGAATATTATTAACGTAAATTATGGAGTTCATTTTTCAGAAGGTTTCTTAATATCTTTTTGAAGACAGTTCAGCGCTACACATAATCGAATACGATCATTCTTTATAACTTGATGAAGGATTAATGCGTACAGAAACCACTTTTTATTTAGTAGTGAAAGAATTATTACACTGGTAAAGCTTCATGGAATTTTTAAGTATGTGCATATCAAGACAAATATCCAATTCAATTTATTATAATTTATTGTCAGCTATAATTTGGCTCTGATGCCCTATATTCATATAGGTTGTTTAGTTGAAACCGATTTGGTTTCAACGACATGAATTAATTTCTTGTTTTACAATTATCTTTGATATAAAAAATTACGCGTGTAAGTATCTGTTACTTTTAAACAAATTAATTTTTGTAAATAAAAATTCTTATATAAAACATCAATATACAATTTAATAAAATAATCTATCATATATATATATATGTGTGTGTTATTAAAAAAGATTTTGTTGATATTTAACTAATTGAATTATTAAACGGAGAATTATTTGAAAAATTAATAAAAAAGTTTCTTCTTAGAAATTGATCTTTTTCTGTTTTCTTCTTTTTCAAATACCTACTATGTATAAATAAATAAGCTACTATTTTTTATAAAATTTAATATTTATTTTTGAAACATACCGATATTTTAATCATGTAAATAATTTTCATTATTTTTCTCAATACTTTCTTTTATCTTTCAGATAAGTTATATGCAACTATGTGTTTTCTTTACACCATTTGATTTATCTCATTATTCTGTTCACAAAAGTATTAAGGTACGATAATCAAAAAGTCAACAGTTTACGAGTTATTTAACATTGTGTGTCAAAATGTACCAAAATAAAGTGTAAAATATCTCGAAAATTATTGGTTTTTTGGTATCTCTACCTTAATACTTTTATGCAAAATAGTTAGAGGAATCACGTTATCTAAAAAAAATTACATAATTCCATTTAAAAAAGTGGAGGTGACCTTCATATCTTTTTAGCGCCTCCACTTAGAAAAAAAACAATATGACTAAAATGTGTCCCCCTCGACACCATTCCATTTTTATTTGAAACATTTTTTTATAGCTGGCGTATTTTAGGAGATATTTCGACCGATAGATTAAAATGGGACACCCTGTATATATGTGTGTGTATGTTATTAAAAAAGATTTTGTTGATATTTAACTAATTGAATTATTAAACGGAGAATTATTTGAAAAATTAATAAAAAAGTTTCTTCTTAGAAATTGATCTTTTTCTGTTTTCTTCTTTTTCAAATACCTACTATGTATAAATAAATAAGCTACTATTTTTTATAAAATTTAATATTTATTTTTGAAACATACCGATATTTCAATCATGTAAATAATTTTCATTATTTTTCTCAATACTTTCTTTTATCTTTCAGATAAGTTATAGATTATGGCGTGTGATTAAAAGACTAGTTTTTACTTGTAATGAATTCCTAGACGCCAGCATGGAATTCAAGAGATGCAGGTTTGTATTCCGACTGAAGTAATATATTTTTTGCAATAAATTATTTATAAAGTTTTAAAGATGCTCATTAGCATTATTAGTATTAAATTACTTGTTAATTTTACTGATTGTCATTACTTGTCAATTTAATTTATATTATTACGTCTTCAATCTAGGACTATATTTTAAGACCGACAAATAATTGATGCAAAATTTACTTGAATTGGAAATTGTTTTAATTCTCAGAAAGCATTATCAAGTATGAAGATTTGCTTCGATTGAATATAAATATTTTCCTGCACTTATTAGTGCAATGAATTCTTCAAACCACATTAATTTTTTTAACATTTCTAAATTTTTTGTTAGACAAAAAACATGTTACATTAACCGGAACTAATAATAATTTGAAGGTGCTACGTGAATACCGATTGAGATTAATTTTGTCTTATGATGCTGAAATGAGCATTGCTCAGTTTCATGTGACGAAATTGATCAAAGATACTATTACAACATGGCTAAGATATTTTACCACACCCAGCGTACTCAAAGGACCTAATGCTTTCAAACTGTCACTTGTTCCGGTTGATGCAACATACTTGTTTGAGAAAAAAATTTAGAAAAAGATGTTAGAACAGAAATAAAAAAATGGTTTTATGATAATGAATTTATCGCAAGTAAAGATAGTTTTTCTATTAAGTTTTAAGAAATTTATATAATATGTTTGAAAGGTGTGAAAAAAAATATAAAAAAAATAGATTACTTTCATATATAATTGAATTATATCGGTATATGTCGACAATAAATATTGAATTTTATAAAAAAAAATAGTGAATTACTTATTAATGTCTAATATGTTTTATTCGTATATGTGCAAGTGTGTGTTGAGAGAGTCAAGGATTACAGCAATCGGATGGAATTCCCGGATAACTCTTTCCGCTCACGTTTATGTACACTGGAATACACGTATATTACATGTCATTCTAATCGTCGATCAAAGACTTCGACGTAGAACGTAATGGGTCAGGAAGCTCGCTACGAACGTCATTTAAGTATCCCGGCGTTATCGCGAAGTCATCGTTATTGTGCCGCGCTTTCGCTGCGACTTTACGCACGGATATGAACCAGTCTCCTCCTTCCCTTGCGCTTTCGTCCTTCTCCTTCCATCACCTCTCTGCATTTTCCTCTTTCGCCTCGTTTTCTATACGACCTAATAAATCACCATTTTCGCTTCTTCCGAGTGAACGCAACGATGTCAGAGGTTCGCATATTCAACGACGCTGAACGTGACGTGTGAAATTAAAGCATCACGAATCTTTGCTTACCTCAGCCTATATTCTTGAAAAAGAAGCAATCTCTATTTATACAAACGATTGTACGTTTCAGTAAATCGTAATATTATAGGTACTATTTAACAAGTCTGATACATTTAACGCAGAGTTCTACGTATAATATAATATTGAGCTGAAACAAAAATTGGTAGCTATACTATATTTGTATCTACATGTTTTTAAACAAATTTAGCAATTATACCATTCCATACAGCAAACTTTTAATTTCGAGAATTTGCTTTTTGAATTGCAGTACGACAATTTACAACGATTTTTAATGAAGTTGTGAATAATTAAAGTCCAAATGCTTCTTTTATTTAATCCGCGATAAATTAGTAATAAAAAATCTTAAGAACATTCTTATAAAAAACATAAACTTTAAGCTTTCATGTTAGAATATCGAACATTGTTGTAAGTTTTTTTTTAAACACGTTACAGAGCGAGAAGAAAATTTCCCATTTTTCCAGTTTGTAATTGACTACATAGAAAAATTATCAAACTCGTAGAAAGAATTAATAAATCTTCAAAAAATTTATTAATTTTTCGAAAGTAGAGAGTTCATGTTTAAAAACACTTTTTTAAAATTTAATTTTGTTTATCTTTAACGAAATTGTTAACGAGCTGTTTGAATTTTGAAATTTGTAACGTTACGAACTTTGGTTCCAATCCAGTACCTTATAAATTATGTTTCGTGAAGAATTCAACAGCTTAAAAATACGTTAATGAATAATTGTAGATAAACATTAAATGAATAAATTTTATTTTTATAGCGCCAATATTAAATAAGTTAATTTTAATATGAAGTGTATATACATCAGGCAATAATCAGATACTAAATGCGCGTCGCTGCATTGAGATGAACCGAACAGATGTGATTCTGCTCTGTGCTAAATCTCACGCATCATCGTTGTCCAGTAATAAAGCTAACGATGACGCGTGCGATTTAGCGCAGAACTAACCGCTGATTTCTAACGATTTCTCGACAGTTTCTTTAGATTGAAGCTGTCGAACGATACGATTTTAATGCTCGACATAGACTAATGAGTATCAATGGATTAACTCTTTAATCTTAGCATTTCTCAGCATGTGCACTATATTTTTCAATTATATATTATGCTACACATGTTCTCTAACTTATCTGCTTTAACATGTAAAAATAGATTATTAATAGAAACGCGTATGCCGCGCCGAGTTGAAGAATTAAAGGAAACTTAGAAGAGTTTCGAATTTTAGAATCAATTTTATAATTGGTACAATTTTCGATGTATATATATATATATATATATATATATATATTAATATACAAATTATAATATATTAGAAAAGCATCGTCTCTAAAATGTCTAGCAAAAAAGAGAAATTCACAACAGCTACAGTTTAACCACATGATTGCCAACGAAATATAGAAAACGGCGTTATTGATCAACCATGTAAAACATAAAAATCATGTAATCTATATGCATTTATAAATATGTATGAATTTTTTTGCTTTGTATATTGAATTAAATTATTTCTTTTCAGTATGTCTTATTTTAATTTATTTTCATTTACTTTTATACGTTTTCTAATGGAAACATCTTTCTTTAATTTAACCGTTAAAAGTGCTTGTTCAACTCTAACAGCAATCATTCATTTCTGCATCTATAATTTGTTTATGTTGTATGTTCGGAAAGAAAGATGACACGAAAAGAGATTAACAAGAATAAACTGCAGTACTTGTCGGAAATTATCTAGTGAGTTTTACCGTAAATATATATCTACACGTAATCATTCACGAACATTTGATCTTTTTCGATAAACTCTTCGTGTAATCGCGGGACAGTCATGATGTAGATGACAAATTTGTTATATCGCCCATCAACGATTTTACATATCGCGCTCTCTGTCTCTTTCTGTAGCGTCATAACACACTTATCTAGCTTTGTCAGCATTACTTGTGTCGCTGGTGGACAGAATTAAATTCATGAATGACACTTTCTCGCTGTCCATCAGGAAAGAAATCAATTTCGTAATCTTACGTACCACGCCGTACACATACATTATGCTGTACGGTCATTAGATTGCGTTTTCGTGAATCTCTGACGACGTTTGACGATTATTAGCGATGAGTCGCGCGAACTTTCGCGCGTAACAACTGATTCGTGTAATCGCGGTAGAGACAGTTTGTTCTCGTAAGAGTTAGTAATCGCCTAAATCATTTTCGTCCGGCTGATTTTCTCTTCCGCGCCCGATTTAAGCCCTACGTAACCACCCTCGGAAACGTTTCTCGTTACTTTTTTTCTCAACGTCACATCGGGTGGCAACTTATCGTGACGAAGAGTCTGCGTAAACATCTTTACAATTTGTAACACTCGATCACTCATGATTTCCGTATTTGTGACGTAATTACGATAATTTAACGAGACATCTATTATCATTTTTACAAGAATGTTTAAATTATGCCTGCAGAGAAAAAGAAAGGATGAAAGAGAAGATTCGACGATATGTTTATGATTTCTGACATAAGATTGCTCATAATTTTCATAATCATGATGCAACTATAATATCTTCCTGTTAAAACTTTTTAAAGAATTATTTTATATGTAATTTATTATAAATTACTGAATCGTTAGTTAATGTTTCGAGAAACCAAGTTTCAAAGTAGAAGTTCAAAGAGTGGGCAAAAAATCAAATCTTTATGATCTTTTTATCTTCCCGTTTTTAGAATGTCTTATAATTTCGATTAGAAGTAGTCTCGATTAATGAATCATTAAAAAATTTTTGAAATTCTTGAAAGTTTTGAAATTCTATCCCTGTCTAATGAATCGGAATGAATTATACAGAAGCAATCATAACGTTTTTCTTCTACTAAAATATTTTAAAGGATTGTCTTATACATAATATTTATCAAAAATTATCGAATTTTTAATGAAAGTTCCGAAAAAGTGTGTTTCAAAGTAGAAGTTCAAAGAACAATCGTAAAGTTAGATATATATGATTTCTTTATCTTTTAAACGACTTGTTGCCTTTCGATCGAATCACTTTAAAATTTCTGGCAAAACACAAACTATCGTTCTAAGATCCTTCTTTGATGAATATCGGCGTGAACAGCACCTAGCGCAATCATACTGAATTATACGGATAGAAGTGATGTATTGGCTTATCACAGCAGTTATCGGATGCATAGAAGCATCGAAATACGACTGTAAATCCCCTTAGACACGGGGGATGAGCAAGCGATAAGTAGACTGGAAAATTAAACGAGCCGCGATTGGTCATCGCCGCGGCCGGCATTTTAAGGCCAGCAGAGAGTTTGTAGTTTGCGTAATCGATATTGCAGTTTCGCGAACTGCGAAAACAGGAGTAATAGCAATACACAGCTGAAGGTTGCCCAATGTCGTTGCGTGGCCCTTTGGCCTTTCCCGACTTGGCGCTGCCGATTTTCTTTTCTATTTTTTTTTTTCAACGGCTGTAATTTTCATAGCGTTATGCGTGCGCCTTGTATGTGCATTGTCCCGAAACGCATCGGCTCGCTAGCGCGAAAACCCTGCTTTATATTCCGCAACACGCAGACCTCGAAATAATCAACCTTAATTCGCGACGCGGATTTTATGTCACTTCGGATGCGCGTTATATTGATATCTCTGCATACAGACAATGTCAGTGTTGTGGGACCGGAATTATGCAAAAATATAATTGTAATGCATCGTTTGTCGAAAATCTGGGTTAAGTTTCGCACCTAAGTTTCTTAATAAATAATTCCACATTGTTTAAATGAAAGTGGATCTTCCGTTAAGATTCAGTTTTAGAATTTTTAATGAATTTATTCATACGCTGTTAGCATTCGTTTGCGCTAAAACTCGTTAATATACATCTGCCTCTTAAATTACCATAATCTATTCTTTCAACTTTTTACTTGACTGAGAACTGTGCAATAAAAAAACAACTAAAATTTTTATTATTTACTTATTATTTACGAAATTGTATAAATGAATAATCTAATCAGTTATATAATTCAAATAATAATAAATTATTTTTAATTACGAAATTAGCTATTATATTTTATACAACAGAAAAATGAAATAAAAAAATATCTTGTTTCCAAAACATACTTTTCGATTTGAGCTCTTTTTTTTAATTTAAATATTCTTTAAAACTTTTACAGCGAATCTGAAGAGTGAAATTTCACTCTTAAAGATGAAAAAATTGAGTTCTTTTTTATAGATTGGTCCAATTTGAGTGAGATTCTACTCCAAGAATTTATAGAGTAGGTAATAGGTCAGAATTCGTAGTTAATTTTTGTATTTAAGACTATTTTAAGGTATATGAATCAATTACAAAGTTGTATTACTATATCTTAAGACACATAAATTATGACATAAATTATGATTGTTGAAAAATAAGAATCGACTATGAATGTCGGTTAATATCATTCGTGTTAAGAGTTCGATGTCGGGATGAAATATTTTATCGTTATAACCAACAAGGTTAATAGCGGCACGTGTTTCACACGAGACATCCGGCATGTGAATCTCGATCCATGCTGTTTTATCTCGGCGAGCGCGGATCTGTAAAGTTAAACGGTACTTGCTATACAGAGAAAGTCTTGTGAGAGTGCGAGATAAGGAGGGTGAGATCAGGTGAAGGCGAGAAGAGCGACAAGGAGAAAGAGAGAAACGTCGTGTAGCTGGTGTCGTCTTCACCATGCGGGTTCTCTCTCAATGGGAGAGAATTCCTATGATGAAGGTATCCGCACGGCGGATGGCTCTTCGAGTTTAGTGGGTAAGTGGGTCGTGCTGTTCGGTTAATTACCGATCGGCCTCTCGTGGTGTATCACGTCGCATGCTAGATATTCATCGTCCGTCATTCGCGGCCGTTGTCATGACTGAAGACAAGCTGCTTTTTCCTTTTATTTTCCTCGACCTTTCCTTCCTCTGTCCATATTTCGTACTCTCCCAAGCGCGACTTCTCTTCCTACACACGCGCGTTCCTTTTTACTTTCAGGACTCGAACTGCGAATCGCCGTTGAAAGAGATTTGTTTTAAAGTACCGAGCCAAACAGGAGTATTACTGTAATTATTTTTAATGTAAACTATTTTGTCTCACATCAGTATAGAATATATATTTTGTTAAAAGTAAATAATTTTTTTACATAATAATATGATAACGAAACTAATTATATTGTTAATATTGTCTTGCCTCTAATTTCATCAGGCTGCAGCTGTTTCGATTCTTTCTCGAATTTTATCTTGATTAATTGGATATTAAAAGAATATTCAAGATTTTCATTATTAATTTAGCTGAATCATTTCGCAAAAAGCTATATACCTTTAACCTAATATATATGTCCTTCATTATGAAAAAAAAATGATTGCAATTATTATAATTTAATTATATAAAATTTATTATCGTTTTTGTTGTTATGTATTTATACTGTACTGTATTTATATTTTTTGACAGATGGTCTATGAATACAGTTATTGTTAACATTATAGCAATAATCATTATAAGAATGTAGCTTTTGACCATAATTATTTTTCCATACAATAACAATTATGGACACTTTTCTTTTAGTGTGTTAAAGATGAAATTAAAAGAGCTATTATTTTTTCACACACAACTATTATATTTAAAAAAAAATCTTAAATATGTATTCTGTATTATAAAGATTGTTGCAATTTTTATCAATTTATTGCATTCCATTATCTTAGTTCAGTTAAACACAAATGTTAGTCGATTGAATGGTACCTGCTACAAGTAGTCGGTTAGTAAGTCTGTTAGCTTTTGCGAAAGAATTGCGATTCGTCTAATCATGAACAGTAAATTAAGGAATTGCGGTCGAGAGATTCAGCATATTGACCGGATTAGAATCGTGTCAAGAAAACGTGCTTGAAAAACATTGATGCTAACATTGATGTATACATAGATGCGACAAAAGGACAACTTTACCTTTCGCCAAGCATTTCATGGACTGGTTTCATCATCTCTCCGCTATCTTTTTGTTTACTTTCGCAATTGCTCAGCAAAGAAATGTCGCTAAATGCTATACTTACAAAATTATTTACAAAGCTGCTTCATCTTTTCTGCGTTTTGAAACAATTTAAATATGATTAATTGTTTATTACTAATTATATTCATTATACATATATGGCTAACTATCTATTGTACTTAAATGCACATAATTAACTAATTAGTTACATAATTAATTGAATTTTCACCAAATACTGAATAGAATTAGATATACTTATATTTCTATTATTTTTTGTTATTTTATTTATATATATTATTATATTTATATAATAATATACTCTTTTTAATCTTTTAATTATGTTTGTTATTTTGTTTTTTACTATATTACTATTATCGAAAGATAATTTAATATTCGCGTATTCTAGATCGAATATCGATCCACATGAACGGAACATGATGAACGGTATCGTCTACGAGCTACAATTTACAATTTATGGTACATGATCGTTTCTTCTTTACGATAAAGCTTTCCTTTTGAGCTATAGGTACATGGAAGAAGAATAACAATATTACGCTGATGATGAATATTGTATACTCGTTTGCAAGATATTATATTCTCGTGTTTTAAGCATTTTTGTTTTAATCTCTAAATCTCTGAATTGCCATTGGTGAGAGTTGAAGAAGAGCGTGCTAAGTAGGTAATGCTACATTGGCTATTAAATGTGACGCGTAATACGCCTTCGGTGATTCTTGCATGGTTTTCGTGTCATTGAATTTTTATCGCAATGCCACTTTCTTATCTTTTTACTTTAGAGATTCTATACTTTACAAATTACTATTCAAATTCCACAACTTATTCCATATAAATATGAAAAATAAATTCTTAATGGAACGTTCAGCTACAATATATGTTCGTGCTCTTTACATATAATTTATCTTAATAAAAAGATTAAATATTTGTTTTTATATTATGCTTATATATTATTATAGATACATTTTTGAGATAAGATTAATCTATAACCAATAAAAAATCACTTTTAAAGCGAATTCTATGGCAACATGCATTTTCTACGTGGTTCTACAATGGCTTTACCATTTTTGATAAATCAGAAAATATGCCGTATTTAAAACTTGTTTTGTAACTTATTGAATATTTTTTTAATATTGATTTTTAACATTTAATTTTGAAGGAAGAGGAATATAATTCTAAAGAGATTTATTAAATTAATCTATTTTGTCTGTCTACTTTCTTCTTTTCAAAGAATGCTTCACTTCTTCAGAAGGAAATTTGCAATTTTATGAAGTCGTTTGTTGCGCTTATTATAATTAATTAATTGCCGTAAAAGACGTAGCATTTTGAATAATACTGCACATTATTGTACATTGTGCATAATTATGATAAATTATGATATGTTTCGTATATAATTCGATTTTGCTTCAGATATGATACGGATATATGTTTTTATCAAGTGTCTTCATTTCTTCATGTTCGATATTTGTCTAATGGTACTAGCTTAACGTTTCTGCTCAACGACTCTCACTGCCGTTCACTGGCGATTCGCCTTCGGCGATTGCTTCTTCCTCCACTAGCATTCCGCAGCCCGGAAATGAGCATCCTATATCACAAAACGGGTTCTTTCTCGGTTTATCCGTTAAACATCATCGTGTGACTCTTTTCTTACATAGCAAAAAAAGACGGAGGTATTATTCGCTAATTTCTCTGTGCTACTAGCCTGTTCTTGCGTGATCGAAATGTATCGACTTTTAAGAACCGTTTTCACCGCCCAATGAGAGTAACTACGACCTTTATTTATAAACGTCTAGATGGAAGCGCAGATTTATAATAGCATTAGTAAAATGATGATATATTGTATATATGTTTTTCTAAATAAATACCGTCGTTACTCTCGTTGGAGCAGTAAAATATACATATATAATGTAAATAAATTGAAAATAAATTGATGAGTAATTAAGAAATTTATGATATATGTAACAATATTAATGTATGATATGTGCTTATTTAATTTTAACATTTGCTTCTTTATTTTTATAAAATTTTACGATCTAATGAAGATTTGATACGTGAGTCAAAACATATGTAAATGTTGTTTTCTTATGTTATTATTAACATTAAACTAATTAATATCCTCGGTCTGTGCAATAATTTTTGTGCTTGACTCCTATATGCGTTAGCTTTACTATTTATTTATTTTAAAGCATTAACAACAGTGCTTTCAATTTTGAACATTGCTTTTAATACAAAACACTATTAGTATTTTTAATATTCAAAATAAATAATTAATCATTAGTCGATTTAATACTTATAGTTAATTAAATTTCTCTAAGGGTAATCTTATCCTCTACATACCTCACATTCTTCCCCGAGTTTTTATATTAGATATTTTAATAAAAATGCAAAAAATATCTGACGATCCAATCGCAACACACATTTCTCTTTTCACGAGGAAAGTAGATAACGATGAATGAAATGATTCGCAATATCGTGCACCTGTCTTTCCCTTCCGAAATTTATGATCAAAGTTAATCGCTCCAAACGGTTTTGTCTTCGATCGCGAAATGCAGCCAGGTACATTCAACAACTGCGTTGTAAAACTATTTATTGTACGTTGCTGCCGTAGTTCTACTTTCTTTGCCGATAGCACTTTTGGGAACTTAATTGTAAAATACTCTGCAGTTTTTTCTAATTCATTGTTCTAACGTTTTATGCGCTAATCGACGCGCCGATTAGCAAACCATAAAAATTACTCAACTTCTTGTCTAACGTGAAAGCACGTTTTTTGGCTAATATTGTTTACACACTAAAGTTTCTCATAGAGCAACCTTGCTTAGTCAGGAGAAGATGTGTTTTTGCAGAATTTTGGTTAGAAAACAAATTTGATTTGTTTATTGTTAAATATAGTGAAATAAAAGTAACGCATTTTGAAAGGTACAAAGTGTTTTTTAAGAAGCAATTGAAATAAGAACGAGCGCGGCGGGTGGTATAGTATTTATTATTAAAGTTATATCTTCAGAAAATAACTTATACGCACATGTCTTCAAGCGGAGTATTTTTTACACAAATCTGATAGACCGTATTTGATTTTTATCAACTTTAGGTGCATACATTTAGATTAAATCATACATGGATATTATTATCGCATAGATTAAATACTAATTGGCAACTGATACTCAAAGAGGATAAGTTTGAGATATTTTGAAAGATAACGCAAGAAAGTCTCGTTATCGTTAACTTGAAAGTAATTATTTGCAGTTCTTAAGTGTTTTAATGTCCTCGATTTGGATAAAAGCAACGATGCGTTACCACTCTTTCGTCACACTGCAGTCGGAGAGATCTTAGCCTTGACTAGAGTAAAATATCTTTGAAGATTTGCACAGACGTATTGTGTCACACACATGAAATCGTTCGTTAATCTTTCGTGTAAACGCGAAATGTACTTCTTTCTTCATTTTATGCGTGACGATAATTATTAATCTTGGTGGAAACTAATGATGTTGAAGAACTTAATTAAGTACGATTACTTTATCGTCTCTTCATCTAAGGTCTAATAAGGCAATAAAAATCTCAAGAATTCTATTAAGATTAACGAACTCAAAGAAAGCACGCGTTTAAGTATTCATTTAAAATATTTTTTTTTTTATACTAATATATATTGAACTTTGAAAGATTTTATATAAATCATAAATGATAAATCTATTAATTTTCTGATAGAATGTACATGTTGACAGTAAAGTAAGATAAATTTTACTTTTTTTATTAAAGGTATTCAGATAAGTCTTGATCATTTTATTGTGAAATCTTATTGTAAATTTATTGTAAAGTTGTAATTTTTATTTCTTACACTTTTTACTATATTGGCAATCTGTCATTTGTCAAATCTTTGATTGAAAGAAA